TTTCCCTGGTAAATGTACCTCTAGGTAAGTAATGAAATATTTAAACACCAAAAGACATGTCTGATTTTTTATTTATTGTAAGAATATAATGAGTGAAGAGTTTTTTTGGGGTTTTTTTACAATTATGTAGGAGGATTTTAACTGTATTTATTTATTTATTATATAGCTACCTCAAAAGAATCCCTCCCACTCTTAACTTTGAACAGGCTTCATAAACACAGCTGACCTACTGACAATATGTATAAGAGTAAGCTTGAAGGTTCTTTTAATGTAAAATTCTTGACGCTCAGTGAGAAATCCTTGCAATTCTTTCATATCATTGTTGTTCTTAAAATTCTTAAAATCCATGCCCACGTTGTAGATGCAATTGTAGATTTCGGATGGGGGCGGGAATTCCATGTAACTTTCTTGTTGTTGTTGTTGTTGTTGCTCTGGGTGTGTGGTTTTGACACAGGAGATCCAGGTATTTGATACAGAAGGCCTTCATCTGTATTTTCAAGCACTGCCAGCACTACATGTTATATGTAAGACATATTAATCCTCCACCCCTGTCCTCCTGCAAATAAATAAATTATGCAGCTACTGCTGTTAGAGTTACCATTGCTATGTGGAATTTGTTTTAGGTCTACAAGCACCTATTGGTGTGGACAACAACCATCACACCAGCCGATCCAAGACCACCCTCTTCCTAGAAGACTTGATGAGCAGCTGTCCAGTGCTGAACTCAGGGGATGAGTGAGTAGTATTGGAAAGTTTGGTGGGGAGCTTTCCTGCTAACATTCCCTTTACTATCCCTCAGAGTAGAAGCACAGGTTTTAATGGGCAGAAGCAATATGCAATTGTTTATAATTTTGCCATGACTGGTTTCATTACTGTAGCTCTTGTGATTTTAAATATGATTTAAAGCCGTCTCCAGTGCAGGATGAGGAAGGATATTCATGTCTGAAAGAAATGAATGGAGGGAAATGGGAAGCATGATCTGCAATAATTTAGAAGGAAAACAAGAGATGTCCCTGCAAGATATTTTTAGATCAATTTCCAGCAATAAGATAGCTGGGTTTTATTTTTATTTCATTTTATTTTTTACTACTGCAACCAAAATCATTGCAAGACTAATTAACAGAACAAGTACAAATGGATACAAAGTCATAAGCCAATTAATTAATGAACATGTGGTGTTAACACGTTTATGACAAGTTATGGCTTCTGAATTGTTATTATTATTATTATTATTATTATTATTATTATTATTAGCATTGGATAACTTTAAAACTAAAATTATTCTATCTTTTCAAAGAGCAGCTCCAAGCAGATAGCAGGAAAAAACTATTTCAAAAGATAAAGGAACTGCATATGTGTGTGTATGTTCACAGATAGCTATAGCTATAGATGATATAGATACTCACACACAAATATGCATATGCAGTTAGCCTGCAGGGACAGACAAGCCACCTAACTCCATTGGAGCATACAGGTGACAAAGCGATCAGCTATCTGCTCCCTGCTCTTTTATATTTGGCTCAAAATGTCACTTTAGCTCAATGATTCTGTTAGCTGTGGGCTACGATTAGGTGGAGCATGTCAAGGGCCAGAAAAGGTGTGACGCATTGATGAGAAGGAATAAGCTGTTCCTGAGATCTAGGAAAGGAACCTGGCATTTGGTTTCCTGGTTTGGAAAAGAAAGCTCCTTTAGGGCTGAATAACTATCTCATCCCCATGCAGTGGCAGCTCCACCCGGCTATCCCATCCCAGGGTGCCACCCTGAATAAAATATTGGAGGGGGGCAGGGAAGCCCCGCCCTGTATAATCGATCCCAAGACGCAGGGCACGTGCACACACACACACACACACACACACCATTTTATCAGCAATGCCCATCAACTTTGGGGGGACCCACCCCCTCAAATATTTTAGGGATGGCAAAAGGACCTAAGGACCTAGGAGTTTTCTCCTATGACCTAACCATATGCTGATGGGGATGGCTATGGCTCCTCAGTCTTTGAGTCCACAGAAGAACCGGAAAATAGCACAATGTGTAACAGATGAATAAGCTGGCATGTGATAAGGCAGCCCATGTCATGAAGGAAGCATTTCTGACAGCCTATTCTTACCATGTTTGCTGTAATTTTTCTTTGGAATGATGTGAGGCACCACTTCCATGCATTTGGCAGACAAAAGCTGCTCTTTTAAAATCCCTTCACAGTGGAGATGAAGTAGGTGGATGAAACTCATGGTGCTGGGCCAGAGATCCACAGGTGCAGAGGCCTCCAACAACAGAAGACCTAAGGCATGGGTAGGCAAACTAAGGCCCAGGGGCCGGATGCAGCCCAATCGCCTTCGAAATCCGGCCCGCAGTTGGTCCGGGAATCAGCGTGTTTTTACATGAGTGGATTGTGTGCTTTTATTTAAAACGCGTCTCTGGGTTATTTGTGGGGCATAGGAATTCGTTCATATTTTTTTTCAAAATATAGTCCGGCCCCCCACAAGGTCTGAGGGACAGTGGACCGGCCCCCTGCTGAAAAAGTTTGCTGACCCCTGACCTAAGGAGATGGGGCCATTCCCAATCCTTCCCATGTACATCTTCTACATCCCCTGAACACATCTGTTAGTTGACTCTGATGTCTTCTGGAGCACTGACTTCTCAGAGGGTCTGTAAACACTGAGAAGATTCTTCCCAAAGCAGTCCCCACTGCCTAGAAAAAGCAACTAGCTGCAGGAAATGTCACCAGTCCTTTCATTGGCCAGATGCCACATTCAGGGGAAAGAGGTTTCCTTCAGACTACCCAGCCAAGGCTATAAAGCTCTGCCAGTAGTTCAAATATGTGCTACAGTCATCCAGAGATTTCTGACCATGTAAAGATTCATTCTTGCTCTCCCATGTGAATCAGCCAAAAAGCGACAGGTTAGCTAAAGCAAAGTGCCAATATGATTGAATATGTTACCACACAATAAAATTAATATTAATGGCCTCTTCCTGATATTTAACTTATTTTTTGTTTATCTTTTTATTTCATTTTTTCTACCCAGTGTGCTTAGCTAATAAAACCTCCATTATGAGGAAGTGGCACTTGTAACATTCCATGCTACATCAATTATTATGACTTTATTGTGACTTATTGGAGTTCAGCAAATCCCAGAAGACTATGCTGATGCCTTGGAAGCAATTAATTTTTGATTGATCTAATTCACTCCAGTACTGCATGTAAAATGTTTGCAGGCGTTTGAATAATTCTATTATATGTGGGAGAACACTGCAGGCAAATCATTTGAAAATTAATTGCATAGTTATTTTCAGTAAATATAATTTATTCCACTTCTATTGTGGTAACTTATGTAGTTGCTTTATGGAGTAAACTAATGAAACAAATGATCTTTGGCGAATTAAAGGATGGGGAAGGGAAGGAACAGACACAATGCTCCATTTCTTTCTCAGAGTTAACTTTCAACTCTGCATATGTGAACCAACAGAACTGGAAAAACAATTAAACATAAAAGTACAGAAATGAATGTAAAGGGAGTGTTTAAAATGGTTCCAAGATGCAAATTCTATATCCTTTGTCAAGAGGAGCAAGAAAGCATCTAGATCATTCATGTGCATCCACTCACAGTACAGTCAATAGGAGAGAAGTTTTGACTAGAAGAGTATATGCAGCAATGGCCAGTGGGGAGGGATGCACTGTCGCTCAGCCAGAGGTGAACGATGGAAGGGAAAATGTATATAAAAAATTCTCTCACATGCTTTTTTATCCTGACCTTTCTCTAAAGAGCTCCTCGCTGCAGTTTCCCTTCATCCTCACAACTGCTTTAGAGCAGGCACGTCCAACAGGTAGATCACTGGATGCCTGTGGTACATCACTGGCTCCCCCCAAAGAAGCTCAACAACTTTGGCTCAACAATATCACCCTGCACCCCTTAAAAATGGGGCTTTCCTCGTCTCGAAATAAAGCTCAACAACTTTGACCTGAACCCCCCCCAAGGGGTAGTTCACTGCCAGTTTTTTACTCTGCGGGTAGATGGCAGTCTCTTGGGAGCTGGCCACCCCTGTTTTAGAGTTAGGTTAGTGTCAGGAACTGCTGGTCACTGCCCCATGTGGTTAACTGCATAACTGCAACCTATCAGGGAAGAACCTTCCAGATCATCCTGGCTGCACCTAAGCTGAACATTGGCTCCCGCTGGACTGGAAAGGATCTACATGGCTTCCTTTTCCAGCTGAGGTTGAGCAAGGAGGTGTATGTGAGTGTTAGCATTTGCTGTCTGACGCTGGTGGTGCTTTGTTGTGACCTCTACTTGTTTCCCAGTCCTGCCTTTTCCCTTCAGTCCTGACTCTTTCCAGATTCCGCCCATGGCTGGCCCTGATAGGCTAAGGTCTGTGGCTGAGCAGGGATTTGAATCCAGATCTTCTTAGTCCAGGTCCAGTACTCTAAGCATCATGCCATTACTGGTTCTCTGAATGCCAGGATGCATTTTGCTTGGCTGCTCTAGGGAAGATGCCAATATCTTCCTAAAACAAAATTTAGAATGGGTTTGCCAGTTCTGAGGGATGCGAAAGAGGTTTCAACATGATTACAGTCATATTTCTCAGGAGGCTTCACAAATCTGTACTATCCCACCCACACATGAGCTTCAGGGGGATTTGAAATCTGAGGCTCATAGAATTGCAGAAATGCTCAGTGGTCTATTGCAGGCATCCCCAACATGCGGCCCTCCAGATGTTTTGGCCTACAACTCCCATGATCCCTAGCTAACAGGACCAGTGGTCAGGAGTGATGGGAATTGTAGTCCAAAACATCTGGAGGGCCGAAGGTTGGGGGTGCCTGGTCTATTGCATACAGTCCTGTGTATCAGCCATCGTCATTTCAGATTCTAAAATTGGGGGGGGGGGGACTTTCAAGAAATTGGCCAAAATGTAGTGGTAAACTTTGTCCTGCATGGTGAGCACTACTGAAATGAAACATAAGAAACTATCTCTTCATCACTATGGTATGTGTACACTGACTGGCAGTAGCTCCCCAGGAGCTCAAACTGGGGCCTCCCCCAACCCTATCACAACTGACAACTTCTGCGTACCAAGCAGATGTTCTACCACTGAGCTACGGTCCTTCCACCCAAATGAGTGGAAGCTACACAAGCTGGAGATTGAATTTGATTCCCTTTTTGATCTCCAGTGCATTGAGTTTAGTAGGGGCAACATCAATACATGACATACCCTGGCAAATGCTGCAGCCCATGAAGGGTCTACTGCTGACACAAAGCCTGAGAACATCATTTGAATTATAGCATCGTTAGATTTTCTGGCACAACCGGCATTTTATTTCCCCCACAATGCAATGTCTCCTGTCACAGAGACTGCACTGTGGGGAATTTAAAATGGCAATCCAGGCCTTTTGTCCAGAGCATTGCTGCTGCCCTATTGCCCACTAGGCTGTCTCCCTAACAGCAACACTGAAAGGAAAGCCAATCCAGTACAACTGGACTTCCTGGGTGTGGCAGCCATTTCACTGTATGCATAGTGTGACTTGCGTTGTGAGGGACTTAATGGCTGCTGCATCAGCAAATTCAGTTACATGGGTACTGTTTTGTGTTCTGCTGCGCTGCCAGTAGGCTACCCACACCTCCACAGGATCCCTTCATGCTGCCTGGAGCTAGTTAGACCTGAAGGCTGCTGCTGCCTGATACACAACTGTCCCAAATTTACTTATGAAGATTTCTGCAAAAGGTTCCTCTTCCAGCACAGAAAACGCTTCACCTCAAAATACAATCCATCATCATCAGACACATTTGTTACAGTTTCCAGCTAATGTTATTCAAAGGTTATTGACTTTAAAGAGAAAGCCATGACTTTAATCAATACGTATTTACACTGCTGCCAAAAACAGAATTGGAGATGAAGAAGAACTGTTCATCTTATGTCAGTGAAACACAGTTGGAAAGAAGATGCAAAGCAACTATAGATGACAGGTTAAATTAAAGGAGAGACCTTTACCATTAAAACAATGAAATAGTCCAATCCCTTAAAACAGCAAACATTTTTCTGCCATGATTGGGCTAACCAAGGGAATGAATTCTCATTGCCCAGAAAACACACAAAGTGGGTTGAAGAATAATCGATTAAAATGAATTTGTTCTAAAGGGTTCTTTCAAAAGTCACTTCTGATATTTTTATTTTTGCAATGCTTAAAATTCTACAAGGCAGGCTTAAGCAGTATGTGGACCAAGAACTCCCAGAAGTGCAAGCTGGATCTCGAAGCAGCAGAGGAACCAGAGACCAAATTGCAAACATGTGCTGGATTATGAAGAAAGCCAGAAAGTTCCAGAAAAACATCTACTTCTGCTTCATTGACTATGCAAAAGCCTTTGACTGTGTCGACCACAGCAAACTATAGCAAGTTCTTAAAGAAAAAGGAGTGCCTGATCACCTCATCTGTCTCCTGAGAAATCTCTATGTGGGACAAGAAGCTACAGTTAGAACTGGATATGAAACAACTGATTGGTTCAAAATTGGGAAAGGAGTACAACAAGGCTGTATATTATCTCACTGCTTAATTAACTTATATGCAGAATTCATCATGCAAAAGGCTGAGCTGGATGAATCCCAAGCCGGAATTAAGACTGCTGGAAGAAATATCAACAACCTCAGATATGCAGATGACACAACCTTGATGGCAGAAAGTGAGGAGGAATTAAAGAACCTTTTAATGAGGGTGAAAGAGGAGAGCGCAAAATATGGTCTGAAGCTCAACATCAAAAAAACAAAGATCATGGCCACTGGTTCCATCACCTCCTGGCAAATAGAAGGGGACGAAATGGAGGCAGCGAGAGATTTTACTTTCTTGGGCTCCATGATCACTGCAGATGGTGACAGCAGTCATGAAATTAAAAGACACCTGCTTCTTGGGAGAAAGGCAATGGCAAACCTTACAAGACAATGACAGCATCTTAAAAAGCAGAGACATCACCTTGCCGACAAAGGTCCGTATAGTTAAAGCTATGGTTTTCCCAGTAGTGATGTATGGAAGTGAGAGCTGGACCATAAAGAAGGCTGATCGCCGAAGAATTGATGCTTTTGAATTATGGTGCTGGAGGAGACTCTTGAGAGTCCCATGGACTGCAAGAAGATCAAACGTATCTATTCTTAAGGAAATCAGCCCTGAGTGCTCACTGGAAGGACAGATCCTGAAGCTGAGACTCCAATACTTTGGCCACCTCATGAGAAGACAAGACTCCCTGGAAAAGATCCTGATGTTGGGAAAGATGGAGGGCACAAGGAGAAGGGGACGACAGAGGACGAGATGGTTGGACAGTGTTCTCGAAGCTACCAGCATCAGTTTGACCAAACTGTGGGAGGCAGTGGAAGACAGGAGTGCCTGGCGTGCTCTGGTCCATGGGGTCATGAAGAGTCAGACACAACTTAACAGCTAAGCAACAACATTCTCTGAATGTGTGGATATTGTTGTTTTTAATTTAAACCATTTATATATCACTTAACTGCAATAGTCTCTAAGCCATCTAGAAAGATGCTTAAAATAAAAATATAAAATTAAACTTCAACTGTTGTAATTGAAATAGAAGCAGCTGCCTTTGGTAGGCACCAGAAGTTCAGTCAGGACGGGCCTGTCTGACCTCAACTGAAAATATTGCCTGAATATTTGAGAGTATTGACATATTTTACTTCAGTATCTAACCCTGGATAGTTGGGTTGTTTGACTGGAATGGTCCCAGCACACTCTGCATTTTGTTTCACACAGGCACACCTTGCATGAACCAACCCTGCAAATGAATCAGTCAGGCCCCCTCACCCTTGGCTCAGCCCCACGCCATCAAGTAATGAACCAGTGTGTGTGAACCAGAGCCAGCCTAAGACATTTCGCTGCCTGATACAAAAGTCAAGGCAGCAACCTGCTCCCATTTAAGGCCAACTGGACCAGCAGCTGACTCTAACTTTGATCCTGGAGAGGGGACATCCTCCATAGCTGGAGGGCAGCAGGCTTGGTGACTGCCTGGCCCCACAGCTCCATTCTCCAACACCTTGCCATTGCTCCCAACCCCTCAGCATCCACACTTGATGTGGCTGCCTCACTCTACCTAATAGTCCTGCCAGCCCTTCATCCATTGCCTGAAGCACTGTGGTCTTCCTCCACTCCCGTGACTTGAGTTGGCTAACAAAACCCTGCAATATGATCAGTGCTCTAAAAGGTACCATTATCAGTCTGGGAGTCATTGTTGCACTCCAGTTTTCCCAAATTACATGGCGCTAATATAGCTATCTATATTCTTCTCAAACCAGATATGGTGTCATTGCCGTCTTTCTTCTTCTTTTTCCAAGCCGCATTCATGGGCAGCTATGAGTGCTTTAGTGACAAAGCAACATTATATTTGGTTGCTGCATTTCTCTCCCCAGCCCTCTAAAGCCTAATTCACAGCTGCAGGAAAACCTAAACAAACCCGCCGAAGCAATTTACGAAACTGATGAAAATGATTAGGCAAACATTCTTAAGCATCCCAGCCCCAATTCTGGTGGCTGAAGCAATTTGTTTCCGGAACAGTGTTTTTGCTTAGTGCCCTGTGATTTCACAGCACATCATTTTCATGTCCTGTGTTTCAATCGTTATATAAACTTTACCATGTCAAGTAAAAATCACACACTGGAATTCACACTAGCATTAGATAAATGCTTGTGAGACATTGACGTGCCTCGTTCAATTTTCCCTTCTATTTTCTGAACAAGCAGGCTCACTCATGTTGAAAGATAGCACCTAAAGACCAACGCCAGCTTGCAAGAAATTAAAAAAGCAAGACCCAAATTGGTTGACTGCTTACAACAGCAGCAACACAGGACCTATATCTGAAAATCAATAAACCTTAGAAATGGCCGCTGGAAGCAGAATTGAGCCTGCAGCGCTCTAGGGACTGGGACTGGGTTTACAGGAGGAAGAAACAGACTGGGATGGAAGTGTGGAAACCCAAGTTGGAGGAAGAAGGATCTCTCCTTTCCACCTTGACTTCAGTCGCTTTGGGGGAGAGCAGGGATGCTGGCTGACTTCAAACCTTCCTGCAGAGCACAGAGCCTCAGTGGATTTTGGGAAGGCCTTTGAGCAAGTGAGGGGGGAAGCTGAACAGAAAGCAATGTCTGAACCAGAGCCAGAACTGCAGGGTATCACCCAGGTGCCTGAAAGCAGGTACTGCTTCCTCAGATGGAAGCAAACTCACTGGTCCTGACAAGAGCAGGCGCTCGCTATCTCAGCATTCCCACGAGGCGAGTCTCATAAGCGAGCATGCCACTGGGCACCGGGAGGCGGGGGGGGGGGATGAGGAAACTGTTGGGATATCTTCCATTTCCATCCAGTTCTGAACTTTCCCTCCTACTCCTGAATCGTGACTCAGATAGATAAATATTATCACGGACCTGTATGCTGCATAATGCTGCTGTTGTGAGTCTGCTCAGGTGCCATTTCCATCATACTGTGTGAGAGACATGATTCTTCATCTCTGTGAGCAAGCTAGAAGACAAGATACTTTGTAGAGACAGCAGTCTGTGTTTGAATCAGATGAGGATGGAAGGGCAGTGAATTATATATATATATAATGGATGTTTGTGAGGGCCTAACTCACACACTCTCTTCTTTGGCATAGTAGGCCCTACACCTATTTCTGTTTCCTGTGTTCATAGAGAACACAGGAAACAGAAATAGGTGTAGGGCCTACTATGCCAAAGAAGAGGAAAAGATTCAGAAAAGGTAACCAAAACGAGCAACATTTGGAACTTTTTAGTTCAGAAAAAAAACAAGGAGAGATGTGATAGAAGTCTATAAAATTTTCAAAAAAGTAGGGGGAGGGCAAGTTTTTTCTCCCTCTCTCATGATGATAGAGCTCGGGGCCAGCCAAGGACACCAAATGTTGTAAGACTCAAGAGTTGACAAAAGCAGTTAGTATTTCATACAGTGGATAAACTATATCAGGCATAAGCAAACTTGGCCCTCCAGATGTTTTGGGACTACAGCTCCCATCATCCCTGACCACTGGGTCAGGGATGATGGGAGTTGTAGTCCCAAAACATCTGGAGGGCCAAGTTTGCTTATGCCTGAACTATATGGAATTCCCTACTACAAGGTGGTGACAGCCACCAACATGGTTCGTTTTCAAAGGTTAGCCTTATGCTCCAAGAATCTATCTTTTAGTAGCTATTACGGTAAGTCATGATAGCTATGTACTACTGCTAGTAATGTAAGTGGTATGCTTCAAAATGCCAGTTGCTGGGGAACATGAACAAAGAGAGTGATGTTGTGCTCATGTCCTTTTGGGGGCTTCCCATAGTCACCTGGTTGGCCAGTGTGGAAAACTGGGAATAGGATGCTGGATGGGATGGGCCTTTCATCTGATTCAGCAGGGCTTTTCTTTCCTCCAGGTAGAAGAACACATTGCATGTTGACCACACATACCCTGATGCTGCTACATAAGGGTAGCAAAAGAGGCCCTTGCTTCCCACAAATTAAGCCAATTCCTTTCACCTTGTAAGAAATTATTTGTTTTCTCTTGTTAACACTTCCAGGCAGCAAGGTTCATTGTTATTTCTTTATTTAAAAAACACACTTCTCGTTCTCATTAGTAATTAGCTCTCAACTAGCACATGTTCTGCTTCTAGCTGTACTCAGCCTCACTTCAGCTGACAGTTCGACAGAACAAAGGGCTGCATTTGTAACGCATTTTCTCCTAGTGAACAGTTTCAGAACACAGGATTAGTGAGTCCGTCACATACAAGAGAGTAATTAAACAGAATTTGGAATGTAGAGGTTTCAACTTGGCATCAAAACTGAAAGCACGTAAGCCAAAGTTTATTAAAATTTTGAAAAGCATTCATTTTTTATTTCTACTTTCCACAATCCACCAGAATTTGCACATGAAAATATTCAGGGAACATTTGTGAAGAATACCTCCAGTGGCTTGATGTCCTTTCTAAGGGCATTTATAACTTATAGCAACCCCATTGCTGTTACATATTTTGTTGTCTAATCCCAATGTTTTGACGTTTAGGCCTGACATAAAGAGGACTGGAAAATAAGTATGGCCATAATATAAGGTCCATGATGTCTTGGAAACTGAGTGCCTGAGCTGTACACCAAGAATAAAAGCCTGGTTGCTCTTTCTTTTCTAGTCATCAAAACTGCCCAAGAAAGAATAATCATGAGGATAATTTATACCAAAGTCTGGCCTTAGAGCCCAACCAGTGGCCTGTCTTGGTGTCTACCTCTGGCCCTTTCAAATCTTGTTGTTGCTTTTAGACTTGACCTGAGCCTCTGGCCTCTAATATTTTAATCCATTTGTTGCCATAAGCTCAAATTATTTAAGATCTCATTGTTGTTAGCTGTAACAGTGGCTCCTGGACTCATACAAACCATTTGCAAGTAGGATCCTGTCTATCCAGTACCCTCCTGCCTTTACAAGTGCAGTTAGTTGGTAGGTCTATTCAACCTTGAAAATACAGGAGTGATCACAAAACCAACACTGATCAATAACTTTCTCCCAACCCCATCTCTAATCTCTTAGCACCAGTCTATCCAGATGGTGCAATTTTTGCTCCACCAACTTTAGTTCAGGTCCAGAATCAGCCTTTCAAAAAGGCATTGTTACCTTGAAAGTTCTTTTAAAATCAAAAGGCCTTTTAAAATTAACGGTAGGGGTTGTTCCTTAACACCCATTCATCCACAAAGCATAGCCAGATGGTTTCTATTTGCAAATCAGCTCACTGCTCCAAGAACAACATTTGCCAAGGGCAAAGTCAGTAGAATGTAAACATCTTCATGAATTGACCATGTAAAAACAGAGACATATAAACAATGGACAGTATTTGAGCCAATTTCCGTCATTTTGAAGGGCTTTAATGCAAACTTCTTAATGTAGCTATCAGAACAGCATTTTTTTAATTAATCCATTTGCTCAATTATTGCTGCATTCCTCTTCATATTCCATGGCTTTTGATTGAAAAATTAAATAAAATGATGGAACTGATGGCCATGAAATAACTGAACAGTGACAGATGAAGCAAATTAATAATAGAAACCTTCTCACCTCTCAGTTTCATGAAACACATTTCCTTCTGTCCAACATTCAATTTTTATAATAATATTAATTATTATTATTAGGCCCAAATTTCTTTTCAGACATATGGCACAGAGAAAAGTCTGATAATCATGTTTTACAGGTCTGGAAACAAAATACATGAAATTCTGGAGAAAGCCTTTGACAATATTTCTTGGAGTTTTATGAAGAAGAACCTACAGGGTATGGGGGTAGGCCAAGGCTTTGAAAACGGTATAAGTGCAATCTATTCAGAACAAAAAGCTAAATTAATTGTAAATAATGTGGTGACGGAAGAATTTAAGATAGAAAAAGGGACACGACAAGGTTGCCCAATTTCCCCACTGCGTTTTATTTCGGTCCTGGAGGTTTTGCTGAACATGATTAGAAGGGATCAGTTGGTTAAAGGTATACAGGTCGGAGCCAAACAGTACAAATTGAGAGCATTTGCAGATGACTTAGTATTGACGTTACAGGAGCCAGAATCTAGCACCAAAAGGGTTTTAGAATTGATTCAAGAATTTGGTCAAGTCGCAGGATTTAAATTGAATAAGGTAAAAACTAAGGTTTTAGAGAAAAATTTAACACCAATAGAGAGAGAGAGGTTTCAGAATGAGACAGGTTTAACAGTGGTTAAGAAAGTTAAATATTTGGGGATTAACTTGACAGCAAAAAATGGGAACTTATTTAAAGATAACTATGAAAAATGCTGGGCTGAAGTGAAAAAAGATTTAGAAATTTGGTCAAATTTGAAGCTTTCACTGCTGGGTCGCATTGCTGCTGTAAAAATGAATGTATTGCCTAGAATGTTGTTTTTGTTTCAAACATTGCAAATTGTGGACAAAATGGAATGTTTCAAGAGGTGGCAGAGAGATATTTCTAGATTTGTCTGGCAGGGCAAGAAGCCCAGAATAAAATTTAAAATACTAACAGATGCAAAGGATAGTGGATTTGCCCTGCCAGACAAACTTTACTATGAATCAGCAGCTTTCTGCTGGTTGAAAGAATGGCTGCTTCTTGAAAACACTGACATTTTGGATCTAGAAGGCTTTAACAATGTATTTGGTTGGCATGCATATCTGTGGTATGACAAGGTCAAAGCACATAAAGCATTTAAAAACCATATTGTTAGGAAAGCACTGTTTAATGTTTGGATAAGATACAAGGATTTATTGGAAAATAAAACTCCAAGATGGCTGTCACCGATGGAAGAGAAAGCCTTGAAAAAGCTCAATATGGAGGTCAATTGGCCGAAATATTGGGAAATTTTGGAACAAGATGGAGACAGATTGAAACTGCAGAGTTTTGAAAAACTAAAAACAAAGCGCGAGACTGGATTCATTATTATCAGATAATGGAGGCATACAATTTGGATAAGAAAATCGGCTTCCAGGTGGAAAAATCAAAATTAGAAACAGAATTGTTAGAACCCAAAACTAAAATTTTGTCAAAGATGTATAACTTGCTGTTGAAATGGAACACTCAGGATGAAACGGTGAAATCTGCTATGATTAAATGGGCACAAGACGTTGGACATAATATTATGTTTGCTGACTGGGAACAGTTGTGGACCACAGGTATGAAATTTACGGCATGTAATGCCTTAAGAGAAAATATTATGAAAATGATATACAGGTGGTACATAACCCCAGTCAAGCTTGCAAAAATCTACCATTTGCCTGATAATAAATGTTGGAAATGTAAAGAAACTGAAGGTACATTTTTCACCTTTGGTGGACGTGCCCAAAGATTAAGGCTTTCTGGGAGATGATATATAATGAACTAAAAAAGGTATTTAAATATACCTTCTTGAAGAAACCAGAAGCCTTTCTCCTGGGCATAGTCGGCCAATCGGTGTTAAAAAAGGACAGAACTTTCTTTATGTATGCCACAACAGCAGCAAGAATACTCATTGCAAAGTATTGGAAGACACAAGATCTACCCACACTGGAGGAATGGCAGATGAAAATGATGGGACTACATGGAATTGGCGGAAATGACTGGCAGAATCCGTGACCAGGGAGAAGAGTTGGTGGAAGAAGATTGGAAGAAATTCAAAGACTATTTACAGAAATATTGCAAAATTAATGAATGTTAGAATGATGTTGGATTGAAGTTAAGGGGTTTCTAGCTGTACAGGCCAAAAGAATATGGAAAAATTGGTTTTTAATATGTAAAATGTAAAATTTAAAGTTATATTATATCAAGATTAAAGATTAGGATTAAAAAGGAGGGAAAGGAATTGTTGGATTAACATATTTAATTAGAATACAAAAGAGGGAGGTAAGAGGAGGTCCAGGAAACAAGTAAATGTAAAAGAAGTGAGGAAAAGATGAAATTGTTTTTAATTGTTTTTTTGTTTTTTTACTTTGTATTTTTTCTTCTCATTGTTAATTTTTTCTTTACTAATGTGGTTTTCTTTCTGTGAAACTTTAATAAATATTATTTAAAAAAAGAAGAAAAAGGAAACAAAATACATGAAATTCAATGCTCGTCCCTCATCCCCTCCTTGGTCTACAGCCTTCAAAATCCTTTACCAACTCACTTCCATTGTCCTGACTGCAGGGAGTCTTTTCCTCTTTCCTCAGTTTCCTTTCACTCTTGTTTATCTAAGCTCTTTGCCTTTCAACCCAGTATCTGCTCTGTGTTATTTCATGTTCTTTCCATTTAGAACTTTAGCCTCAGTTCCATAGCTGCCCACAGGATAAATACTTCACAGCCCTCCCCCAAACTGTTTAAACTGTTTTTCAGTTTAAACTGAAGAGCCAGTTTCACACTGGAGAGCCAGCATGGTGTAGTGGTTAAGAGCGGTGGACTCGGAATCTGGGGAACCGGGTTTGCATCTCCGCTCCTCCACATGCAGCTGCTGGGTGACCTTGGGCCAGTCACACTTCTCTGAAGTCTCTCAGCCCCACTCACCTCACAGAGTGTTTGTTGTGGGGGAGGAAGGGAAAGGAGAATGTTAGCTGCTTTGAGACTCCTGAAGGGGAGTGATAAAGCAGGATATCAAATCCAAACTCTTCTTCTTCTTTCAACACTCCAAAGGGGGGGATCCAATACAGTCTCTGCTTCCATCAGTGCAAGGATTTCTCCTTGTGCAATCGCATGTTCTTCTCACATCTCCTCTCCCTAAATCTTTTCTGGGGACCCCCAAGCCTCTGGGGCAGATTTTCAGAGGGTGCAAGTCACATGCATGGGGAGGAGAGGGGGGGGAGTCCTACTACACAACTGGAAACCTTAATGCTAATAGGATGTGGTAGGTGAATGCCTCCCATAGTTTACAGCAAGAGTGGGGGAAATGTTGTGACGTTAACATATATGAGAGAGTGCTGGAGGGAAAATAGTTAAATAGGTTGCACAGACAGGACCCAGGGGGGTGGAGTCAGTGGGTCTATCAAACGTTTGGAATGCTGTAAAAGTTTTGTTTGTGTCTGAAATAAAATACACTATTCTTTATTAATTGAAAAGCTGGCTGAGACTGAAGTTTTACCAGGGAGGACCTGGTTGGTGGCAGCAGATTAGTGGTGTACGGGTCAATAGTCTGTGAGACGACCGGGGGGCCCGTACGAACGCCACAAATGTGACCCTCCAGATGCTGCTGAACTACAATCCCACCAGCCCCAGTAACTATAGCCAGGGGTGATGTAAGTTGCAGTTCAACAACATCTGGCCTGATTCCCATTTTAAGGAATTAAGAGACCATAGTTCCTTTATAGACCACAGTTGCAATCTTTGGAGAAGGAGATCTATATGAACTACAAAGAGTTATCAAAACAGAGTAAGATTTGCTTTTTTATTATAATAAAATTAAGACAGGAAAGAAAATAGACCAGACTTGCCTTCACTTTCGGAATATAAAATATTCCAACTTTTTGTTTTATAAGGCAGAGCTTCAATAATACATATTCAGATTATATCAAACTTTGGAGAAATGTTAAAACTAATTCCAGAGAGGCAATTTGTGTTGTTTAGTCTATCTTGTAGGATACGTATTTGCTGTGGTATGAATTTTTGTAGGTAAGATTACATGTGAAAATTAATCAAAATTACAACTCGTGCAGTGCCTACACATGACCCTACAAGGCAGAATCAAGAGTGTGCCTGCAAATGAGTCAATGGGTCAAAGATAGCAATGAAGAAAGCATCTTTCAACACCATACATTTAGCAACTGCCTCACAAGTTGATTGACATTTGCTACCGAGTGTGCTTTCCGCTAGCACTTTTACATTCACACACACCCAAGTTAGCAACCAAAGATGTTTTTCTTTCAGAAGTACAAATTTAAGGACTTATTTAATTTTAACATTAAATTTTTTTTAAAAAAATTTTTTTTACTCATTTTGGGTCCTGCATCACAGTCTTAAGCACGTTTCTCCAGAGGTATATCCCATGGCATTCAACAAAGCCTGCTCAGTAGTGTGTTTAGCATTACAGTGAAAGGAATGCAGATTTTCTAAAATCCAGCAACCCAATAGACAGACAATTTTAACCAACAACAAAAAAGGAACAGACCCATTCGCTTTCATTAATCACAGCTTACAATCACAGGTATGTTTTGGCCCCCTACAACTTTACTGCATTATTAAATGTATATCCCTGCCATACAGATAACAAACAGTTGCAAACTCTGGAGACAAATTATACATTTAACTAGAAAAAGGCATTGACTCTATAGAAACCTTTTAATTTGTTTCTGACATTTTTTGAAACAGTGAATTGGCAATGTATGCATACTTATGAGCAGAGAACAGAAGTCAATCCTGATTCCACGGAACATTTCATGAACATGCTAGAAAATGTATATTATAAAAAATACATTCAATTAAACAACCTTTTGCTTTAACTGTTAACATTTTGGACAACTCTTCAAGGCTGAGGCCTGGTCTGTGTGAATCTCGCCTAGCAACAGCAAGCTTCTGTACTTCCTGAGGCTAAGATTGGCCAAAAACTGTTACCTGGCAACAGCAGAAAAATCAAGTCTATTGACTAACATTGGCCAGAAAAATGTCTCTTCAATAAGAAAAAAAACTACATACCAAAAGTACTATTTGTCAAAACAGCACATACTAGATGTGCCCCTTAAACTAACACAACAAACCATTTCCACAGTACAAGATGCAGTAAAAATGGTTATTTTTAAAAAATACCCTAGCATAGTCCATAAAAGAAAAATGCACAGCATCTGTCAACATGCTACTCTCTTAGCAAATGTTTAACTCATTCATAATAATAATAATTTCCCCCAAATTTTGTATGGACCACCCTCAAATTATGTCTCCTACATGTCCAGTTTTCAAAACACAGCTGAACCATTTTCTAATTGTAAATCATAGAACATACTTCCTCAACCATAGTCTCATTATACTGCAGAATATGATTCAGCTGACACTCTTACCATATCACACACACACACACTTGTTATAGTCTTGTTCAAAATTTAGGTGTGATGAGGCCTTTATAGTGCAATCCTATACATTGCAATACCTCAAGCTGAAGGAAATAGGAACAGTCGCTTTTAGGCTTGATTTGTTTGCGTTAAACAAAATAAGAGATGTTTATAGTAAACAGTTATGTTCTTAATACTTTTCAAGTTTCAGTTTTACTGACAACAAACCTTATTTGTCCATATATATTCTTGTAATACTGTATCCTGGCTTTTGTTTTTACCAATTCTCCAGATAATCTTCCTGTTCCCCTATAAGGCTTTCAAAACATTAGCTTACAGCAGCCCTCAAAACTATTTTTAAAATAGTTAAGGCATCAATATATGAAAATCCTGATTTTAAACGAAGAAAACTCTCCTATGCTTTTTTTATGCCTCTTCTATCCATTTTTACTAACAACTGTTTTAAGAATTACTGGTAAATCATGATATATAGAATACATGGAAAAAAATATCTCATTTCCTTCAGAGGTCCCAAAGTAGTTAAGGGGTTTGCTGCTATGTGCTACAAATAGCACTTTTTACAGGGGCCAGAGATGCTTGTCTAGATTACAATAATCTTATAAGGGCAGCAAAAAAATTAATTTAAATTCTTTTATAGTGCCTTCCAGGCTCAGGCACAATAAAGTAAAGCAATTCAATCCTAAAATGCGCCATAGTCCAACAACAATTTTGCATGGCTACATGACATTTCAGACAAACTACCTATTAAACACAGCAATCCAGCAAACTGAAGGGTGTTTTGATGAGGCAGAGCTGTCCCATTCACCATGTTCTGCATGGTTGTCCTGGCATGGGGGCCGCCACCTCTCTCAAACTCCTGGCTGGGCCCACCTAAACTGCAGGTAAGCAAAAGACACCAGCAGCATATACCTCTCAAATGGGGCATTCTGGTTTGTTACCAGAAATAGGCCTAATCCAATCTCTCTGCTGCACCAGCCTCATGCTGCCACAGCAAAATCCACCTCCTCCCCCCCCAAAAAAAACCTTCCGCCCCGGCCAGTGCAAATAGCTGGACTCCAGTGTACTTAACTATTTTTGTGTCTTGGGATTAGAATAAAATTTGGGAGTAAACTAACTGTCAAGAGTTAAGAAGCAGTCAGGTGATGTGCACCTCCAGTCTCTAAAGTATATTACAGTTCAATATGACATTAGTGTAGCATCACAAGAGTAATGCCCAGTACTTTCCAGCTACTAGCTTCCGCAAGTGAGGATTATGCGTAATATTTGCATTCATATACCGGGCAGCAGTAACCTTCCACTGTAAACTTACCAAGTTGCTTGCCACGGGTATAATTTTGGAGTTCTGAACAAATGTATCAGCTTAAATTGCTGTGAATTACCTTGTTACCAGTTGTGTACATTTAATGGACAGTATCACCTGTATATTATAGTAGTTACGTATTTAATTCTCCGTATATCTCCTCCATAGCAAATATATACATTTCATATACAGTCATACCTCGGGTTGAATGTGCTTCGGGATGAGCGCGTTCAAGTTGTGCTCCGCGGCAACCCGGAAGTAACGGAGCGTGTTACTTCCGGGTTTCGCCGCTTGCGCATGCGCAGACACTCAAAATGATGTCACGCACATGCACAGCACCACCAAAACATGACCCGTGGCCACGGGTTACATTTGCTTCTAGATGCGAACGGGGCTCCGGAACGGATCCCATTCACATCTAGAGGTACCACTGTACAGAAATTAGCTTGTACACGATTATTTTAGCACTTCTTTGGTATATCTTGACAAAATGTGTTTCCTAACAAAATGGATCAGCTTGGTCTCTGTGAAGAATATGGTGGCAAGAGTTGCTGTAAAACACAGTGCTCCCACAGCAACGTGAATTAACCTGGCCAGCCACCCTTTATCACAGCACAGGAACACCTACGAAGAAAGAAAGACAGAATGTTAACTTACTGTTTTAAGAAATATATTATTTTAAGTTACGGTTCATGCTCCAATTCAGAGATAAGACAGACCCGGTAATTCTCTTCACAGTAATGTGAAAACTAAAACCCAGTAAAGCCTCCCTGTGTTTATAAGATAGTTTAGGTAGGCCAAACAATCACATAAAAGCTAGTTTAGGTTCTGCAAACTTCTGTCACTCTGTTTTACGGAATGGTGTTCCCTCAGAGACTGTTCATTAGCACCTTCATTCATGTTTCCACCAGCAATTTTATTCACCCAAGCATTTGAATCATCAGCTCACTCATTCATGTCTACTGATTGCTGCACCTTTATGAGTTTTATATTTTTGTGTGTGCATAAAAATAAGTTGTGCACTGCTATGATAAACTGAGTGAGAAGCGCTGGAGAAACTTTTTAAATAAATAAATAACACAAAGAAAGAAATAACATTTCAAAGCTTTAAAAAATTAATTCTCTACATGTGGGTATGTTTCAATATCTTATGCATATCTGTAGATATGCTCTGTGTACATCATAAACCGGAACTAACTTGCGGGTTACTTAATAGCAAAAAAAGGACTACTTTATTCACTTGTTCTGGCAGAACAAAAGCACAAAGAAAAAGTACTACTCACCTCTGAAAAGCCCATGGCCACTCCGCAGATGACATAAACAACCAACAGCAACGGTGATATAAGGAGGCCCTTTAAAGGCTTGTAAGGGCTCTGTGCAAAATAGTTGTGGATGTAGCGAATGCTGTGTGCGATTCGGATCCCCATGTTGAAGCAGTTTGCAAAGATGAATCCTATGCTGCCTTGCCAATAGGTCAAGAAATAGGACATGCACAGAAAAACCAAAGACAAAGCGAGCATGACAAAATTGTACCTAAAAACAAAACAAAAAAGGAACAGTTTGTATGGTTTCAGTATTCATCTTTTACAAGCCTGACAATTTGCTTTCTAAGATGAATGGGATGGAGGAGGAAAATTCATTATCAATGGTAAAGAGCAGCAGACCTATATCTGGTAGCATATATGTTAAATCTCAATTGTTAGTAGTTAAAGAGATTTGTTTATGACTCATCAGCAAGTCACCAATAAAAATCTTCCTGTATCTATTAACTCAATGGATAGCCATAGATGAGCTACTATATACCAGCTTCCTATCTGCAATATGAAAATAACAATAGAGATGGATCAACTCCCAAGCATTGGCTCAGTAAGTAAGCTGAGCTACCTGCCACCAGCCCCACCCCCAAATTAGAAATAGATTGGCTTATTTTCTGAACTAATATGACATTCAAAAGTTGTCCACTTTCCCCCTAGCCTCTTTAACCAGACAACTTATCCATCTGAGCAAAAGCAGCAGTGCCCCAGACATAGTAAGAGAGAAAGAGAGAGATTCAATCTCTTCCGCCTGCTCTTCATAATCATAATACCTTGAACATTCCATTTCTGTCTACTTTACAAATATAACCACTGTTATACCGTTGATGTTATTATACTATATTGGGCAAAGAGGCAGGATATTACTTTCAATATTTTTATATATGAACTTGTGATTATTGTGACACTGAAGATGTAGATTAACAAGTAATGGTCAAAACACATCTAAGTCAAAACACATCTAATATTGTTACAAAGGGCTTCGTGTTTGTTTATTTTAGTGACACAATAAGCTGTTTTTAAATATAATTATGTTTTTACAAAATTTGCTTTATAAACATGAGAAGTACACTGATATATATATATATTTTTAATACTGCACTCCCCAACTTGGTAGTTGTTCTTTCAGAGAAGGGGTAAATTTGGGCACCTGCTGCCACAGAAAGACTTGCCAACTTTAAAAGTGCTGCATTATAGCTGGAAAGGAAGAACTGGGAATACATGCTTGTGCACTCCTTTCAAGCTGAATCACTTGACGTTATGTGACATCAGGTGAATGGCAGGTAAACATACCATTGTTAAGATTAAACATGATTTTGAGTTTAGATAAAACAAACTACTTTTAACTGAAAAAAAGCAGTAAGTTCTGATCTCCTCCTGCCTACCTCAGAGAAAGGGGGAGGGGAAAGATAGGCACATAAACCTGGGGTTTCTAATTCTAAAACAAGGTTGTGGAACCCTAGGCCTGGAGTCTGACTGTGGCCCTCCATGGAACTCTGTCAGGTTCCTGGGAATCTGTCCAGGCCACAGCACTCACCACAAACAACATTAAAAACCCAATATTAAAGACAGTTTAAAACAACTCCTAATCACATAAATACATATGTTGGAGCCTAAAAATGTACACCTCAAGTGTATATTTAAATGGTTATTTGGTATCTCTTCTCATTTCAGCATTAAAGATTTCTTCAGTTAAATAGCTACAAAGTTTTATTTCTAAAAGAAGGTGCTCATAAATTCTTGAGAACATTGTTTATCAGTGAGATTACACATGTGATAACTAGAGCAGCTAGTATCAAAGTAACACTGATTATGTTGAAGAGCAGGACAAGGGTCTTAAAATTACTGTCTCTCAATATTTATTTTTCTGCTCTGTGGTTACAGGCTTATAATGGTATCTTGGGATGTCCCAAAACGAAAGTAAGCAGAGGACCATCTGTCGGGGATGCTTTAGTTCAGATTCCTGCATTGCAAGGGGATGGAACTAGATGCCCCTCAGGGTCCCTGTCAATTCTACAATTCTATGATAGTTCAGAACATCGTCTTCCCCCTCTCCATTTACATTTAACTTGCAGAAATATTTCCCCAAGACACAAGATCCCTGCATATTATCCCAAACTTTATTCCAAATGAGTTCATATCTCTACTTGACACACAGTTGTACTACGTCAGACGGCTTCATTAGTTCACAAAGACACACATGTAAAGGAAATGTGAGCTAATAACTAATTCATGAAAATGATAAATGAGGATAAGTCAACATTGTACTGATCTTCGTCTAGAATGCTGTAATGAGCATCTTCAAGGATGCTCTCTTTCACTAGAGGATACATTTGCTGGTGCTGTAGTTTCCAATTAATCACATCTTACAAATCCACAGCCTTAAAAGTGCATTGTACTTGGGGGAAAAGCAAATTTAAAATGAAATAACAAAAAAACCTCTCTCTCACTCTCTCAGTTGCAGTGACAGTGGCCAGCAAAGTACATTGCATTACCCTAAATATGTAACTCAAAATCTCAAAACAGCATGGTGCTCAACATTTGTTTTCAGCAATGTGAGATTTCTATAAAGATAGATGGGACTTAAAAGATCCTTCAGCTACTGCAGCACAGAAGGTACCCCAAGCAAACAGACATCTGTAGAGCATGGCATTAGAATCTACACACTGAAGAGCTGCACTGAAGAGATGGCTCACAATGAGGCCAACCACAAGAAGAAGAGGAGGTTGGATTTGATATCCCGCTTTATCAGGGTAGTGAGTCTCAAAGCGGCTAACAATCTCCTTTCCCTTCCTCCCCCACAACCAACACCCTGTGAGGTGAGTGAGGCTGAGAGACTTTAAGAAGTGTGACTAGCCCAAAGTCACCCAGCAGCTGCACGTGGAGGAGCGGGGAAGCGAACCCAGTTCACCAGATTATGAGTCCACCGCTCTTAACCACTACACCACACTGGCTCTCCAGGAAACTATGTCACAAGCTTTATAGGTGCTCTTATCTACCTGTGCCCTCCAGTAATATGCAGCTGTGTCAGATAGAAGCTAACTCAAGGACCACCTTTTTCCATATGAACCTACCCAGACCCTGAGATCATCTTCTGAAGCTCTTATTTGTGTGCCTCCTCCTTGAGAGGTCCAGAAGATGGCAACACAAGAATGGGCCTACTCTGCAGTGGCTCCATCTGTGGAATGCTCTCCCCAGAGAAGTTCACCTGGTGCCTTCATTATACACCTTTAAGTGCCTGGCAAAAATGTTCCTTTTTAACCAGGCCTTTGGTTGATTTGATTGAGATCCTATGTCCTTTTAAAATGTGGTGGGTTTGGGGGTGGGGCTTTATTGGTGTCAGGAACGTGGCTCACCAGTGCACAGAAGAGTCAGACTCAGAAATTGAGCTAAGAGGGACAGACTGTCGATGAGAACTGGCTGACAGTCGAGAAAGGGCAGTTCGACTACCCTTCCAGAGGAAGACACTGTTAGCTCTCAAGAAGAGGAAGAGCTGGAAGGCAGCCAGAGAACTGCTAGGCAATCAGCAGATAAGCAGAGGTCTGAGACTGTGTCAAGTGAAAGTGCAGAGGGCAGCCTCTCAGTCCCTTTTCTGGATAAGAGGAGACTGGATAAGAGGGCAACGGAAGGGCAAGAGGGGAAAGGTGGGAGTTTGGCGTCCTTCCTGCTGTGGGAGGGGCAATGATTCAGACTGACCAACTATCATCAGTGCGAGCAGGCAAGAAACCATGTTCTGGATGTGTCTTTTTGTTAACGTACATAAAACTGCCAGAGAGTCATTACTTCTTATTAGGCTTGCTTGCCTGCCAGAGATCATTACAATTGGGTTGGTTGTTTTTATTTTTATTATGTGTTTTGTGGTTTTATATTTTGATTTTATTATGTGAACTGCCCCGAGACCTCTGGGTATAGGGCGGTATATAAATTCAATAAAGAATAATAATAATCTAAGTACGTAAGGAGAATCCGCTGGATCAGAGCAGAGGCCCATTTAATCCAACACTCTGTTCTCACAGTGGCCAACTATGGCAAACCTACAAACAGGACCTGAATGCAACAACATTCTCTCTTGTAATAATAAGCACACATCTAGATCTGTAAGTACATATACTTGAAAGTATATTATTATTTGAACATAGGAATTTTTTTTAGTACCTACTGAATTCTTTCAATGCTTTTTATAGAATGCATCACTTTAAATCCCATTTCCTATGACAGTGGACAAGTCTGAACTATCAGTTAAGCAAGAATGGGAGAGTCTAGTCATAAAAAAGATAAGTAGCTCTGAAACAGAAAGAACAGAATATATGCATTCGATTTCAGAGAAATACCTATTCAAGAATCATAACCAACACCCTTCAGAAGGTACCCAGGATTCCCAACCACGTAAGATATTCAAATGTAAGCGCTTATTCCTCATATCATTACATTTTCTAGCAATGGGACACATCAAGCAGTTATCAGGCACATTATTCTGAGGTGTATACTATATAAAATATCCTCATACAAAGTTACATGAAATCAAAGAAAAGCTAAATAATAGTATGGAACTATGGCCTTTTTAAACTCACCTGTCCACTTCTTCTTTACACATTGAAGCAAATGTAAAACATTCTGTTACCCCATTAACAGCAAGCAGCAAGACATATAAACTATAGCAACGCAGGAGACTTGGCCCTGAGAAAATATTATGACAAGAAGATTAGTAAAATGAAACCCCTCATTGCTGAGATCTGTGCATTAATGCAATTTAACATGTCATTAATGAATTATAACAGCATCAGACTGTCAACTTGCAATTAATGTAATTTTTTTTAAAAAAAATCATGTTCAGAACAAAATATATCCCTACTGTTACTTGAGCAGCAAGGCACAATGGCCAATATCCAATGTTAGTAATACTCTGAGAAGGTCCATTTGTTTTCATACTCTGAGCATGACTTAGTCGGAAATCACCTACAGTAAAACATTTTGTACTAAGTCACGGACAACATTTAGAATTTTGTCCAGGGTTGTTGCCACTCTTCTGGTGTGTTATGACAAGCAGTTCTAAGACCCAGTCTAGAAAATTTGGCCTTTTTTGTTGCATTTATCCAACCAATATGAGGGAGACTGGAGTAATTTATTACCCCAATACTTTGGAGAGCTCCTTCATTTCTTTCCCCATCCCCATATCACTCTTGGCATCTGCAAAATTCAATATATGTTCAAGAGAGGAAGAAGACCTTCCTTTCTTCTGCTTTGTTACCTTCCACTCAGTCACCTGGTCTCACAATTCAAATGGACACATGGCCTCCTCTCTTTTCACTTCAACCATGATGAATTATCACTTCTAGATGGGTACTTTATTGAAATAAATAATGGAAGCACAAAAAGTATATTCCATCTGATACCACTGTACCCAATTCTGACTGAAACTAGGGGCATGCACCAAATACAAAATTCAATCTCAATGCCACTTCAAGAAGTGAGTCAATTCAGTTCAGACTGCTTTGGAGGACACTCTTCACTTTGTAGCTGAATCAGAACTTCACTTTAGAAAACGTGAAGCTTCATGCCATCCCATTGACTATAATGGGAGAATCAATAAGCAGTGACAGCTTATTTGCTTTTTTTACAGAATAGGATGAAACTGACAGAAACAGTAGCAGTTTGTGAGTGGATGAAGCCTACAAAATATCAGAAAAAATAGGTGCAGGGATGTTTGTGCAAGTAAACTTTAAGTTTTGAGTTTGCTTAACAGAGAGTGAGTGTGTGCGTGTGTGTGTGTGAGAGAGAGAGAGAGAGAGAGAGAGAAGAGATATGTCACGGGGAAATTGGTGAAATGCACAGGGGATGAGTAGTCACATTTAAATTTGATATTGGAAGAGTGAAGATGGGATCTGCTCCTTTGGGAAGAAGGGTGAGATAGAAATTTTATTTACTTCTCTATTTTTTGATAGTGCTATCAATCTCAAAGCTCCTCCTCCTTCCCTCCCTGGCATTTTGCTTATATGGGAAGCTTATATGGGGGGAAAGTATTAATTTTAAAAGACCCAGTGTCTATGTGCCTCTGAATTAGGCCTGGATGGTCAGGAACAGTCTGATTAGCTTAAAAGCAATCTGAAGGGCTTCTGCTTTGCTTCAAACAGCTACCAAATCTCTCCAAAGCAGCCTGATTCAGTCTGGGTTCACGATTTCTCTGAAACGAGTTCGCGCCCCTAACTGGAACAGGACAACAATTCTTACTAGGAACCCTGCCACACAGTTTCAAAGGCCTTTTTGAAGACAATATAGCAGCTTTGCTAATACAGATTGATCTTATGCATGTTTATCTGGATAAATAAATGAATGTAGCTGCTGATTATTTCCAGTTAACTGTTCTACTGATAATTTTTAAAACCACACAGCTCAAACTGCATGCCAGGAAGCCTGACCTAAGACTGCTGAGAAGCAGCATATAATATATAAAATGAACGTTCCTCTATTAATCAGTATTGGATCAATTTTTTGAGGAATCCATCTTATCTTCTTTTTAGAGCTTTTAAACATTTATATCCCAATATTGTAGTGATTACTATCTTCAAGAGGGCTAAGTACTCAAGAATACAATGATTAACACTGCTGAAAAGAGATGTCCTGTTTCTCTCAGCACTAAAAGTGACATGCAAAATGTCATACTGCAACCATCCTATATTGCTCTATACATAATGAAATTTCCGAACACAAGGAGAAGCCCCGTTTCTGAAACAGACATCGTAGGGCATGCAATGCGAATGGATCGGATTCTCTGTGTTAGTTATTCCATGTGGATATAGTACTTTCATGTATGAAAAGCAAACTGAGGAGGCTTCCACAAAATGTTTGATGCTTATGAAGCTACTTTTCAGAAAGGCAGCTGCGATGTGACATTACCTGATCCCAAACTGAGCATTGAACCTCCATAAAGATCCAGTGCCAACTGGGAATATGCATAACCAAAAACTGTAATAGTTAGGCCAATCAGAAGCACTAGTTTCAACAGTGATTCTAATACAGCTGCTGCCATGGAGATATCATCCTAAAAAAGAATTGCATTCATTTAATAGGCAAAACAAAACAACATATGCCAGATTACTGTGTTAAACTTATATGTGGAATAATTAGATTTTACAATTCACTATTTTTACTTGGCTAGTTAAAGGCAAATTATAATAATTTTCAATAATAATTGTAGACTATTTGTGTCTAGAAGTATGAACATATTCAATAGTAGCCATATTTATATATCAAATGTGCTACAAGTTCCAGACAGAACTTAATTAATCTGCACAAAACCCTTCATTAAATAGAAGATCAGGAAATGCCTGAGAATCTGCTGTGACAAAGGAAACAGGTTGACAAAAACTAGCTTCTAATGCATCAGAGAAAACCAAGAACACTAACACTTCTGGTAAATTACACAACAGTATGCAACTTCTACCTCTGCAGAAAATAATAATAATATAAAAAAGGGGATCATACTGTATGATATAGAATATAGTTCCTGAACTAAAACTATGCTTAACGAGAGCGTTTGATCCTGAACTCATCTAATACTTTATTTACAATACCCTCCTGTGAGATATATGAGCTTACCTTAGCTTCTCTACTAAAAATAGGCACAGCGTCTCTTTAGACACTAATAGCTCACTCCTAACCACAGTAAGTCCCATTCAAATACACATTCTTCAGTTGCCCCAAGTCCTTCTTTTAAACCATAGACCCCTCCAACCATATAATTTCAGTAGATTGACAAATACACACACCAGGACCACGGCATTATTTAAATTTACTGGTTTGTACTCAACCAACATTTAATTTCAACAGTTCTACTGTGAGTAGATATTCACTGAATACAACACATTATTTTTAGTTATTTATTTATTTATTTCAACATGCATACTCGTTCTATGATACATCTTACTCAAGGCTACTTATGAAGAAAAAAAAGTATTAAAAACCATTCTTAAAAAATGAAACAAATAAGACAACAGACATAACCTTACCATCTACTTATCTCTGATAATGCCTGCACAGTTAACTTTTATTCTCACTTCATCCCCCATAATTATCTGTCAAACCTAGTATTTTGAAAGGATTTTATCCAATGGTACCCTGATAACAGAAAACTTCTTAGTTTAGAGGAGGCTTCTGTCAGCAGAAAACAAAAGGTCGTCCCCCCATATATTCACCCTCCCCTCTGCAGCCCCCATCACATCCCCAAATCTGGTAGAGAGGACCCATCAGAACAGTGTGGGATGTTTTGGAAGTGAAGAAAAGGGGCAAGCAGGGGAAAATAGCCTCCTCCCCATCAACAACATTGGCTCCAACCCCAGGAATTATTCTATTTGTGTAAAATGCCCAGTGAAAGTTGGCATATACTTATTTTAAATCAGTAAACGTTATTTATCCTTCGCTTTAAATGTACATTTTCAGACTACTGAACAATAAGACTAATTTACCTGTTTTTGAAACCTGGTATCTTTTCCGCGTTCCAGAACCTTAGCAAAGTAAACATAAAAACTCTCCTCTATTGGCAAAAATATAAATCGAGCCGTCAGAGAACCAAGGTTGTTCACTATGTCATACACTCCTTTATAAATAAACAGAAACATCTAATTAAGTGTTTAATAGTAAAATTATTGCTTGGTTTAAAAGAAGGAGGGGGAAAAATTAAATGGATGCAGCACTAAGGCAACCGTTCCAGTGCAAACATTTCTACTTGCCCAACAAAACAATTTCCCGACTCTTTCCGCCCCCCGTGCATTGTTCTGAGGGTTCTCCTGGCCCTCCAGAGTGGAGCTGAGGGTGGTGTGAAGGGCACATGGGGGTAGAATGGTGGAAAGTCCTATTGCACTAGCAAGAGTCCTAGTGCTGGCTTCCACTAGCACAGGGGTGTCCAAGAGGTCAATCTACCGGTCGATCGCGGGATGCCCTTGGTCGATCCAACAACTTTGGCTCATCCTCCCCTCAAATAGCTCAACAACTTTGATGAAGCTTTTCCAAAAAAACAGCTCAACAATGGGTAGATCACTGCCAGTTTCTTGGAAGTTGGACAGCCCTGCACTGGCAGAAGAGGTAAATCACTTTTAAAGTTCCAAACATAATTAAATGCATTTCCATATTCAAATTAAAAAGAAAGCTGCCGCCTTTGCACTTATTTTATAGCCATTCATCTGCAGACGTACCACATTTCTAAATGAATGTGGAATCAGATTACCATTTGCTGGCCTTATTCACATGAATAAACTGTGGTTTAAAGGAGAACATGAAAGCATGCTGGTTGCTGCAAACAAGCCACAGTAAGTAAGCCAAGAACGCTTCTCCCAATTTCAAGAACCAAGGCGATGTAAAAAAATGTCTTGCTTACCCTGGTCTCCAAAATTTAGCACGTTCAGGAACGTCATGACATACCGTTCACCTACAAAAGTAATACTTAATATTAGTATTTATTTATCTTTCCATTATACTTACAAGCGGTTGCACAACAAGAAATTTCAAACTTATCCTGAGCACAAGAGATGTCGGACCCAGTGACTGCCTTTCAATATCACAAAATCAAAGAGCCGGCAGCCATCTTGGAGGTCATTTACTCCCAGCCTGCTCAATGCAGAATCCACAGCGCAGGATAGCATTATGCTGAATCTTGTATTCCAATTTCTCAAAAGTTTCCTTTCTCCTGCAAAAGAGGCTTCCATTTTTTTCTGCATCGTTCTCAAGGTACTTCAGAATTTCTTTAGGATTTCTGCAGATTTCTCCAGGATTCTGCAGCCTCCATTTCCTGACCCCAAAATATCTCATAGGAATCGTTACCACATGATATCTTCCCCATAGCTTTTAACTGACACTTGTGAAGCTGGGGAAGTTGGCTGCAGACATCAGTACACTTCCTGATTTTTGTCTTAAATGGAAGAGCTTCCTCTAATCTTAAAAAATATATATATCTCTGATTATTTCTTTAGAAGTAAAAAAGGCATCACTTTAAAAACAAATAAACAGTTTTCAGGCACACAGTAGGCAGTCTCCCCACCTGCTTGCTCTTAAAAGGAAGCCCAGCTGTGGAAATCAAATGAACTTTAGGAAGTACAGGCACTTGAGAAGGCTGCAAAATATAGAATGAGAGGACGGAGGCTGATAAAACACACCTTGACCATCTCAGAAGATAAATACCTGCAGCAAAAAGCCTGTGTTCTATCCGTAAGGATTTATCTCCCTTTTCTTTGGTGTTTTTTTCTTTTTCAAATCTACTTTACTAAACCTTTTAAATATAATTTTCAAATGTGGTTCCTTCTCTTATTAATTGGTGGAGAATTGTTTTAAAAGGCTTTTTCAGGAGGATGCAACTGCAGCATCCTTGAAAGATAACTATCTAGTTTCTGCTTAATTATCTCCAGTAGAGGAGAGTTCACCACCTCCTAAGGCAGTGGGTTCCCCTGTCAAAGAGCTCTTACCATTAGAAGACTTTTTCCTAATGCTTTGCCAAAATCTGCTTCTCAGCAGTTCCATCCCCACCTGCATTTGTTACAGCCCTGCATTTTGGAGCAGTAGATATTTGTAAACGTAACAAGGTGAGAAAATAATAGAAGTTGAAAAATAAGATCTAAGCAAAGTGAATAATGTAACGACTTTACTACGACAAAACTTCTGAAGCTGTGGAACTAGAACCCTAGGAATGATCTGAGAAGTATCTCAGGTGATAGATACTTGAGAGGGGAAAGGGAGGGGGAGACAGTTTTTGTTAGAGACATCTGATCAATTATTGCTTCAACATCAGCTCGGAGCCAAGTCCAATAATGATTATGAGCTGCTAATAAACTTCTACTGAAGGTTACAAGTGCCAATTGTACAATTGTTGGTCCATATGAATAAAGCGATATTATATACATACTATGTCATCATTTCACCATAGTGACACAATTCCACTAAGCATTCAGTGCACATTGGAATATTTAACAATGAAACCACAGCATGAAGGACTAAGGAGAAAACCCAAAGTAAGTATATGCCTTCCTAAATATTTTATCTACAACTTTCACATTCCAATGAATATGCAAAACCAAATTGGTATCTTTCAACAACAAACACATTTCTCCTAGCTGTCTAAGCCCAAACTATAAAACAAACAATTCTGGAAACCGCAAAATATTGGGGGTAGGTGTTTGCAGAGAGGGGCTAAATGGATGCGGAAGAGGCTATCATACTTACCCTCTGTTAAAACTTGCTTCAAGAATGATTGCTTAAAGAAACTCCAAGTCAATTTAGCCTCTTCCCAGTTAACAAATTCCTGAAAGTTAAATAGATAAAAAATTGCTGTGAAGTATTGAAGGAATTAACACTCCTAAGACATCAATATGACCGTTGACTGTGTACAACTTGCACGTAATACTATCTATTGCTGGTTTGCACAGGTGAACAACCTTGACATGGCACCCTGAGACATATTCTAGGTGCAAGGATTATGTTGAAATGGCTTCACGTATAAACTCCTATCATGATTTCTACAATCACAGCACTTTGGGAGATGCTACATCACGGCAACTGCAGCAGAACTGCATCCATGGAGCATCAGTTCATACAATACTATCATCCGTGAGAACTCTGTAACTGGAGGTGGCTACTCAGAATTACAAACCCAATAACCTTTTGGTTCTCTGCTCAGGGCTGTACAAGTTTCCTGTAGCCCACAAGTTGTTACACTGTGGCCCTCCAGGCTACCACAAAATTCCCTGCACAATTAGGGCAGGCGATAGCTAACCGCCTCAAAGCCATGGTTGGTTCAGCTCCAATACCAGTGCTCCATCATCCAAATCAGACACAGCATAACTTTTTGCACCAAGAATACAAACTAAAAAAATCACTTGACTTTGTAGATAGGAACAGTTACATACTCCTCACACACATATCTCAGAACAGCAAGCTTCAGCTTTCTGATAAGCAAAGCAGACAGACATTTGTAAGACAAGGCCTTTTGAAGTGAAAGGTATTTAAATTATTTCAGTTGCCTAATTATACCTTGATGCCATGGCAGGATGCAAAAAAATATTGATATTAAAGTCTGCTTGAAGTGGTTTCTAGCCAAGTATGCTTTTCGAAATGATAATTGCTTGTTGGTATTTGATCACTCTCAATATTTTTGTGACCATTACGCTTTACTCTGAAAAACAGTTTTGATGAAGCTTGCATTTTATTATATCAACTGTAATTGAGTAAGTACATGAAAGAGAGAAGCATGCAATTATTAGAAATATTCTTTGCAGAAAGAAAAAAGGCAAAATGTTGCTATTTAGAGTTTTGACTGGTAAACTTTCTGCTGCATGATATTATAGATCTGGTTAGGTACAATTAATCTTATAACTAATCAAATATATAATTCAAGAATACAATCTAATATGCTATGTAAACCTGTACTCTCCTTCTCTTATTCTGAACTGCAATTAATATTTTTCTAGTAAGGTAATCCAGGCAGCTTGGTCTCAGAAATGTATTCTTATAAATACTCATTATAAATAATTCCGTACAGAATATGGAAATTCCTTCTAATGTTATGGCTACTGCTCTGTTAGTTTCCTTCACAAGTATGTAAGCTGTTTTTCAAAATTCCTAACAGAACAACCAAAGCAGCTATACTTCACTGCCATTTAAGATAATTTATGCTTTTTCATAAAAGTCAAGTGTGCTGCTTTTTATCACAATACACTGTTAATATTTTCTTTCACTTCCCTGCAATACCATCCCCACTAAGGAAGATTTAGCTAGGATCAGCTATAGACAAAAGAGGGTCGAATATGTCTACTGTGCTATGAGACAAGAATAGTCTCTGGAGATTTAAATGTAATACTTTGGTTATGTAAATAGGAATTCTATGGAGGAAAATTTTAAATCTAATATTAGAGTAGCTGAAACAGTATTCTTACTTAATAAGGCTAGTTTACAGTAGTTCATTCCACCTCAGCCCTTTCCTCTCTGAAATATTTCAGAGTAGTTTTACAAACTTTATGCAAACCGAGCAATGTCAAGTTCCATTAAAGTTAGAAGGTCTGTTTTCACCTTAATATATTCAATGATACAGAGGCTGAAAAACGGGACCTTTATTTCTTTTCATGCATGGATTTCTTAACTATATTGAATTTAATCTCTGCTCCACAATTTATTGAATGTATTGTGCACCAGACGAGTCAGCATCTTCAATTCATGCAAGTCGTCTTTTATAAATGTATCTGGCACATATAATCAAAATACTGTGGATGATACTGTATTTTTATAGCTGAAATATTAATTTAAGCATAAAGGTTTGTAAAGCTCCTTTTGATATAATATTTTGGCTTAACGTAATGGAGTAAAAATGTGTATATAGAAAAACCTTATTTCATCCAGAGTGTTGGCTTCTTTTAAACATTTTTGCTTTGACTCACAGAAATAATGTATTATTATGGAATTTGTCAGAAGAAATTACACTACCTGTGGTAAAATGGCAGCAAGATATAGCAAAAGATGTAGGAAAATCAAAATAGCCACTATATCTAACATTCTAAGAAAACATTTTAAAAACGACAATTACATGGAACTTTAATATCTAGAGAAATTTGTAAATTTGGAAATATAAATACATATATTTAAAAGCTATGCTATGCTAAAAAGAGGACCACACACTAATATAAATTATGTAGAGACTTATAAATGTAATGCAAGAATATTGGGATATGCTGTTCATAAAAATCCACACATGCTTTTGTTAAATTATATATGGGAAATTGTGAGTAGCTGGTGAAGAGAGGCTACTCTATTGGAAATAGAAATATACTGGAATAATAGCTTCTAAATGAAAGTCAGTCAGCAAAGTCTGTATATAGACCATTTGAGGTATGAAATTTTAGAAAAGTATTTGTTGTATGAATGAAAGCATGGATTATTTTTTCCAGGCAATAAAATTTAACAGGGGAAATGCTATTAAAGAGACTTTGAAAATGGCAGCATGGCACTGATTTGATGGCCACTAAGCAAGCCACCTATAATGAGATTCACTATAAGAATTAACTTGGGACAATGGCTGTACATGATCATCATTTTTTCTTGTGTCAAAATTATGAATAGTTGGTTTTTAACATAAAGCTGTTTTACTTACCTCATCTTGTCCAAAATTAGGTAAAACAGATATCATACGAGTAACTGGAAATGATTTTTTGGTTGCTTCAGGAGAACCCAGAAACATCATGAAATACATTATATAGCACGAAACCAGAACGCTGGTATATAGAAGCTGCAAGAACAAAATCTCATTAGCTACACAGCATACCATTTATTGCAGCATTTCCACTTCAGCAACAAAATAAATACCAGTAAAATTCAATTGCCAAGTACTCAGCTCCAGTTCAGACATGATGGCAGCTCCCAGGCTTAAGGCCTCACAGCACTGGCACTGTTTGCATGAACCAGCGCCTCCATGTGGGCATTGCCTAAACTGCAATTGCAGTGGACCTTTTTCAGACTGCTGGAACTGCAGAAACCTCATCAAGAGAACACAGGTGACTGTGCAGTTCTCACAAGGCCTTTAAGGACGTGCAGTCCTAAATCAAAGCACTGAGATACAAGTAGTTGTAGAGGAGCTTAATATGCTGTTGACTGTTATCACAAAGATGCTCAATCTGGTATTATGATGCTCAGTTTATGTATTGCAGTTCATAGAATCACAGAACTGTAGAGCTGGACGGGCCCCTGAGTATCAGCTAGTCCAAATCCCTGCGTTGCAAGAATATGCAGCTGTCCCATACGGAGATCAAACCTGCAACCTTGGCATAATCAGCACCGTGCTCTAACCAGCTGAGCTATCCAGGCTCTGTGGTTACTTCTTGCACTTTTATCCTTACCATTAATCCAAATTAATACAATTAAGAAAATTCTCAAAAATAAGAGCCAGGGTTTTCATGAGTTCTATTACAAGTTCATTCCTGATCCTTTCCACACCAGTTTTTGTGGGGGACTTAAATGGACCAGAAAAAGGTCAACTTCTTACAGTTTTTTCCCTCCTAAATTAACAACACAATTCTATATATGTCTACTCATTTCACTGGGGCTTACACCAAAGTATGCAAGTAAAGCATTGCAGCCTAACAGTCCAAAATAATATTTTCTTTATATGCTTAACTGAAATACAACTGACTTTAAACTGATCTACCCAACAGCCTTATGAACCATGTATAATGGGTCGATTTTAAGTAAACATTTGTTGAATAAAAGTGCATTTGTGTATGACTATGCCCCTGATATGACGTTATCTTAAACTAGCCTAATATTGGGATAGAGGTACTAATAGTGTGGACTGCAACATTGCTTTTATCCATGAAAAACTGAAGGGACCAAAGCATGGAAGCTATAGCAAAAATAATGTTAATTTCTTCAACTAAAATTATTGTATCAGATCAAAGAGACAATAGTAATAATGGCAGAAATCATACCTGGGCCAAAGAAAAGATGTAAAGCCCCCAGTGAGGATACGTAACTACTAAAATAACTGTCAAAAAGCATTTGCAAATGATTGAGAGACTTTCAGCAATTACCTACAAAGAATATACAAAAAGCATGTTAGACATAGACACTATGTTCCTAATGGCAATTCTTACATGTATTGGTTTCAAAAATCCTGTGATCAGATTTTGCCTTTCAAACATCTTTAAGAATGTTTAATTGTAATAGTGACAAATAGTCTCTGCAATTAAGGCTATTTTCATAAGAGGTAAAGTTTAGTATGGCATGTAGAAACCATACTTAAGCTGCTGAGCAAGGTTTGAATACAACACTAAACCATGGTTAAATGAACCATGGTTTAGCATTGTGTGCAAGTCAGACAAATTATTTATATCAGCTCCTAAATCAATACTTAATATAAGACAATGAAAAAAACATTTTATTGTTGTGCATCATGCTCTCCAAATTTAGAGTGAAACTAGCTCTTTTTTAAAAGCAAACACTAAACAGCTTTTAAAAAAAAAGATTCACTGCTTCATTCATCAGTCCATATGTGTGTGTGTGTGTGTGTGTGTGTGTGTGTGTCACATTAATAAAAACCCAAACAAGAACAATGCTGCATACATTTTACTAACCTTTAGCCTTACAAACAAGTGTACTTGGGCTAAAACCCAAAAAGGTTCACCTAGAAGTTCAATTACAGCGGAAAGACCAAAGGCAACCACTCCAAAGTTGTAGTAAGGAACAGCATTTTCATCAGGAACTTCAAGTATATCTAGCCAGACCCAGCCCAGGAATACAGACCAACACACGCCCAAGGGGACTCTATGAAAGTTGAAAAGATGAGTCCTTTAGACAGGATCACATGTTGTCCTTTTCTCTGTTCTATGTTTTGAAAGCCAGCAGTCCAAATAAAATCAACATCAAAAATATGTGCATCTGTTTTCTGTACATCTGTATTTATAGGCTACTTCTAAGTTACTTATACTACCCCTTAGAATGCATGGGAAATTCATCAGCCATCTTATTATTTATATACCGCCCATCTGACTGGGTTGCCCAGCCACTCTGGGCGGCTTCCAACAAACATAAAAACACCATAAAACATTAAAAACTTTCCGATACAAATACCCAATTCCTCAAGAAATCTACACTTTTCCATTTGACAAACCCCCAACCACTACATTGATCTAGGGCAGCTTTTTGCACACAGACTTAGAAGCTACATCAAGCCCCAGCTGTGCTTCATGTAGACATGGTAGTTAATATATGCATTGGATTCTCATGAAACAAGAGTTAAATCCCCAGAAACGCAGCACAGCAGATAAGCTCAAATATTTCATTTGCAGTTTAGATAGGCACTGAGTTATTTACCGGTAAGTATTCCATTTTCTACCTTAACTAAACCAAAAAACTAAAGTGCTCACTCTTTGATTCATTCATGGTATGAAAGCAAGAGGCTGCCCTACCTTTTCAAAAGTACACGTAAAACTCAAATAAATTAAACAGGCACTTCGAAAGGATTTAACCTTTCTGAGATTATCAGAAGTGCTACAAACTGAAACTAGGATGGCCACCTGTCATTCCAGGCATCCTACCTGTTCCCTTAAAATGTAGGATGCCCAATGAGCCAATGTATCCTATATTCACTGCCTGCTGTGGAATAAAGCTTGCTACAGCAAGTGGAACATCTGCTTTGAATCTTTGAAAATGCAAGTATGAACTCCAGGATGACAGGTGAAACCCTTGCCAGAATAAATTAGGATGGTAGTTTTTTGTTTTTACTATGTACTTAGACATAAGAGGAGAAATGGGGGAAGGGTTAACTGAGTGAGCTAATGAGAGTAATTAATTTGAGGATTCCAATGTCTTACTTAAACATACATTGTCCACAAAAGATTAAATGTTTTGGTCCAGTTTCTCCTTGTACTTCCACTCAGACAAGCTCTTCGGAATGCCTCTCTGGCTAAGAAAACAACTGTAGAATAAAGCAGCATCAGCCTAAATGTTTTTTAAAAAGGAAAATGAGTAATTTCAGTACAAGGTTAACTGTCAACGAGACAAAAACTTCCAATAATTCCAATAATAAACAGCACAGAAGATTGGGTTAACTAACCAATCCAAATTTTGTTTGCCCCTTATAAGTGGTTGGGGGCAGAGAATGCCAACAGTTACAGTAACATATCACCAAATGCAAAACTATACTGCTGCCTCAGACAGACAAATGTTTCAGCAGTATATTTTGTATCAATTATTTTTTATATGTTCAAATTGTTATTGGCTTTGTTATAACAGTACCATCAAGATAAAACAGCAGCAACAACATAAGAATAGTACAGCATGCAAGCAACTTCAATATTTCAATTCACTGCTAGCAAAAAGAAAAGAAAAACCAGAGAACTTTGCAGTCCGGAAGACAGATGAGATTTTCAATAAAAATAGATATACTGTACGTTTCAAAACTAACATTTGGTGGAATTGGAATGCCCGCCCCAGAAGAACACCATGAGAATATAATAAAAATCAGAGAGGTACACACCACACATCATATTTCAAGAAAGACTAAAAATTACTGAATCTCCACCCAAGTCATAAACTACTGCATAAACACAGCACTCTCAATAGTACTATAGATTTGCATACTAGAGGATGGAAATTCATTTGTCCAAGAAACCAAATCACAAATTCAAATTTGCATTTAGACAACACAGCAGACATTAATTCAACTAAACCATTCAAAATGTCTCTTTGCAGCATCCCTGCCAAGCAAAAAGTTAAGTGGAGTAATTTACTTTGTCACTGCCCAGGTTTAAAAAGAAATCAAATAGAACAGAATATAGTGAGACAAACTGCCGTAATTTGGAATCATGAATCACTCATACCTTAAAAGAAACAGATTACTATTTATTACCTTACATTCACAATGCCAATGATTTCCTTTGAAACATATCGTAGGGTAAAAGCATTTAACCCAAATGTAATGAGGCGGAACAGTATCTGTAAAAAATAAAATAAAAATAGAGTGAAACAGGAAATAAATTTACACCAGCTTTCAACTCATGTAAACAAAATCAGATTCAAGGAGCAACTTACTAATTATGTAAACTGGAAGTCTTGAATACAAATTTTACCTCAGCCATTCGCACTAAGGCTGCAATATGATAGATTTATACTAGGCCCACTGAAGCTCTGGTTCATAGGTAACACTAAGCGAAGATTCTTCAAAACCAAACTAAAATCAAAATTCGTCCTCCCAGCCACATGGGAGGGAGCGGGACATGATCTGCAACTTTAAATCATGATTTAGCATTTTGTGTGAACTTGGCCCTGTCTTCCCACATTCCAACCTAGAGTATAACAGCAGCATAACTCAAACTTAGGAAAACATAGGCACCTTTTCTCTTGTATAATAATTTTGAGCATGGGAGGACAGCCATGTAGACTACACAACTACAAAAATTCTATGCATGTTCCTCTCAGTACCAAGCTAGGCAGGACACTTAGAACATCACTTGAAAGCACATCAGGGTTTGTTTGATTTTAATTTAGAGCAGGTGAGGAAAGAACAGATTTTCCTCAGGACTGAAGAGTATAGGGAGAAATTTGTTCCTTCCCTGTCCAGCAGCAATCCCAGTGAAAATCTACCTGATGCCATTAGTCCTGGGGGAAATGGTCTCCACCGTGTGCATATATATGGTTGTGACTTGAGGCTTCTAAAACCGCATTCCTGAAATGGAAGTCACTTTATTATTGCACTCATAACCCAACTTTCATTCAAGGAGTTCAAAGTGATGCACGTGGCTCTCATTATTAACATCATAACAACCCTCTAAGGTAGGTCTGGCTGAGAGGTGACTAAGTCAAGGTCACCCTGTGAGCGTTATTGGCCTAGTGGGAATTTTAACCTAGGTCTTACTCAGACACAAGGAACCAAACACTAAATAAATAATCTGTTTATTGATGCTGAGACATACAGAAAGCAAAGAACGCAAACATGAATACAGTGGTACCTCGGGTTACATACGCTTCAGGTTACATACGCTTCAGGTTGCAGACTCCGCAAACCCAGAAATAGTACCTTGGGTTAAGAACTTTGCTTCAGGATGAGAACAGAAATTGTGCTCCAGCGGCACGGCAGCAGCAGGAGGCCCCATTAGCTAAAGTGGCGCTTCAGGTTAAGAACAGTTTCAGGTTAAGTACAGACCTCCGGAACAAATTAATTACTAAACCCAAGGTACCACTGTATAAGGAAAAGCCCTAAAATTACACAATTTTGTGTTGTTGATTAACAGCTCTCTCCTATGCACATATTCTGCCACAAGTCACAAATTATTTGAAGCAGTTAACTGAATCGCATGAACTCACAGCTTTCTGAATTTATTCTAACAACAAATAGTGGGCATTGCTGGGAAATTGATGCTCAGGAACATTTTACAAATACTACTTATCCCTAGAGAAGGCACTTTTGTGAAAGATGCTCCAAAATACATGTGAAGGAGGCTGCACAAACCCCATGTATAGAGCATGTCCATACTATACATGTGTGTACTTGTACAGGGACACCAACAGTCCAATAGACTATTGGGAAGCCAATAGTCCTGTTCACATATGGTGAAAAACACTCTTGTGTGATCAGTATGGCAATGTCGTACAGAGACAATACTGTCTGAGGAGATACGCCCATTGGGTGCGGCTCCAAAAAATTCATGCCTCATTTCTTCCACGACCACAAATGCAAAATGGAAAGCAAATGTGTGGATCCTACGCAGGATCATACAAGGGACTTCTAGTCCAACCCCCAGACAGGAGCCCTCTTCCCAATGTGGGGCTCAAACCCACGACCATGAGATTAAGAGTCTCAGGCTCTACCAGAGTGTTTCTCAGACTCGAGGACCCAGCTGTTGTTGCACTACAACTCCCATCATCCCTAGCTAGCTGCGCCAGTGGTCCGGGATGATGGGAGCTGAGGTCCAACAACAGCTGAGTCTACCCACTGAGCAAGGTAATGTGTCATCGCCGGCGAAGGGTCTTTTCTGCGAGGGAATAAAGATATGTGGATGTCTCTCTCTCACACGCACATCTAATAGTTTGGAGCTGGAAACAGGTGACAGGGCGCAAAAGCAAGCAAGCAAACCAAACGCAACCAAGCCACAGGGGTGGCCAGCGAGTCCGTTGCGCAAACCTCTTGCAGAGGAGGCAAGCAATTCAAACTGCGGGAAGAGGCATCCATGACTGGGCCGAGAGGGCGTTTCTGAAAACGAGTCACCGAAGAGAAGCCAGGGAAAGGGACGAGGCTAGGGCTAAGCGAGCACCGCCTCGCCTCCGTCCTCTGCCGCCGACGGATACCTGCAAGAGGGCGCTGGAAGAGGCCAGCCGGCTGGTCTGCCGAAGCACGTCCTCAGAGCCCATCTTTGACTTTGCCGCCTCCATCTCCTCCCTGCCACAGAGAAGCCCTCCGCCGCCGCCTCAGCTGGCGCCTGCATAAGGGGAAGGCGCTCCCCGCGGCCCCGCCAGCCTCCTTTCCTCCCTTCCTCTTCCTCTCTCCCTGTCCTGCTACCCGGTGAGCGCCGCTTCCTAGTCGGAGGGCGAAGCCCAACATGGCTCCTCCCCGTCGCGCTCCGAGCGCGTCAGCCCAAAAGGGGAGGACGAGAAAGAGGCGGCCGCTCGGTTTGGTTGCAGCTACGACGAGCCGGGATGGAGTGAGGCAGGAATGCTCTGCATGCTGCTCGTCTGCCATAGCTGGGGAATGCGAGGAGCCACGCTGGCAAAGCTGGAAATGAGCCCCATCTTTCTGAAGGCTCTTGGCGCGCAAAAAGCCCGTGTGTCGCCTGCAGTAGCGCCTCTCCCTCTCTCTCCACGCCGTGCCGGTGCTTTCTGGCACGGGAGGTCGGCTGGGCAACCTTTCTCTGCCTCACCACAGTTTCGGGGCGGGGGTCAAGTTGTTTGCCAGTTGCCTGCTCGTCCTATATTTCCTTATCAAACACACAAGTGCAGGTGCAGCCGGGTTAAGGAGCAGGGATTTATTTGAACAGCCTTGCACCCCCAAGTGACTGCCAATCATTCCTATGGAGAGGGTCGGGAGCTTAGTGTGCGTTTGTAAAGGGAAGTACTGCAAGGTGCCCTGATAATGTGGCTGAAAGACCCAGGGTTCATGTTTCCTTTTGGAAATGAGGCACAGCAGCGACTGTGGTGCTTTTATGATACATGGTTTATTTACACTATATGCAACCTGAACCTACGAGGGAGGAGTTCACAGCATTAACGTCCCAAAAGTCTCTTGTTTTTTCCATATGCAACCCTTAAATGTTGTTGTTGTTGTTGTTTAGTCGTTTAGTTGTGTCCGACTCTTCGTGACCCCATGGACCAGAGCACGCCAGGCACTCCTGTCTTCCACTGCCTCCCACAGTTTGGTCAAATTCATGCTGGTAGCTTCAAGAACACTGTCCAACCATCTCATCCTCTGTCATCCCCTTCTCCTTGTGCCCTCAATCTTTCCCAACATCAGGGTCTTTTCCAGGGAGTCTTCTCTTCTCATGAGGTGGCCAAAGTATTGGAGCCTCAGCTTCACGATCTGTCCTTCCATTGAGCACTCATAGCTGATTTCCTTAAGAATAAATGTATGTTTAGTCAATTGTTCAGTCAGATTTGGTCCCATGTTAACTGATATCTTCACGTTAACTCGCTATATCTACAATGTAACCGTTTTTGTGTTTTTTTAATGATCAATATTTTTCTCCAGCTATAGTATTGATTTCTATGGGAATGAAATTATTACTACCACATTTCTAAGGTAGAGAACTCCATCACCCTGCAGCAATGACTTTGCTTGATTGCATTTGTGGAATAGCTCCACTGCATGTGAACCTCTACCCTGAATGCTGATACTTGTGGTTAAAAGAACAGATCTAAATAATGTGATGCTAGCACCCAGTACCAAGATAAAGGCCTACCAGCTTGTCTGTTGAGCAGACTGCTTTATGGAAGAAAGCTGTGGGCAACTTACACCCACAAGGAGTGACGCATCAATGCCTTCCATAGGTGCTGTGTCAGGACGATTTTGGGCACCCCCAAAGGTGCTCTCCCAAGCCCACATTCCCAGTATGTTCACCCTTCTTTCTCAGCGACATCTACACTAGCTTGGTCACATACACAGAATCTAATGGTAAGCAAGAATTAGCTTAGCAGTTAGGACTTTTTGTGTGTTTGGATGTCACACTATGCTAAACTGGTGACTTTGTGTTTTGTTTTCCTACTCACTAAAGGAGGGAGCAAGGCAGAAGTGCTCAGGCTGCATTAACTAGCACTTAGTTCATACACAGTATGACTTAATAAACATTACTTTCTGGCTTAGCGTAACAGGTAGAAATGGTCACAACAGATAGTTTAATGAAAAAAACCTGTGACATCTAAAGCAATTGGTGCTAAGAGCAAATGTACTTTTATAATCACTGATTTATAGTCCTGTATCACATACACTTTCTAAAAGTACAGAAAAAAATGTATAGTAAGAGGAATAACTGGAACAGTTAACTTAAATTCACTTCTTTCAGTTGGCATTAAGGGGACTTTTCCTCAACATGTTTTTATCTGTTGGATCCACTAGATGGCAAACCTTCCTCAAGGCAATGAGTAGGAAAAGTTGCTGCCTCAGCCTTATTTCAACCGTGTATCCTAGCATCATCTTTTCTTTTGTGACCCTCTATCATATCATTGTAATTGTGTTTTATTTTGATATTGTGTTTTAACTAAATGCAACAACCTGTAAATGGGAAAGTTGTAGTATGGGGCATGGGTCCTTTTGCATTTCAGCAGAGGACATTCCACAACATGTAATGAATTTGTGCCTTGTATCCAAAACTAGCAGCATGAACAGTCTGTGTTATTCCATGCTGACACCATGTAAAGGGTTTGTGGTTTATTTTTTCATCTCATCATGGCCAATGTATAAAGAATTCTGTTTGGGCTACAAACCATGCGTGATAACACTTCTTGGTAGCCACTCCCAGACTTTGGAACACCTTTCCTAGAGAAGTTAGACTGGCTCCTTCTTTGTTATCCTTCCTTCAGCAGAAGAAGACTTTCTTTTTTGGGAACTGACCGTATTTAAGGAAAGGGATGGTACTGTGATGTTTTTATTTTAGTGACCTGGATGATGTTTTAATATATTTAATATTAATATAATATAATAAATATTGGGGGGGGTAATTGTTTTTAATGATGGTTTCACATACCCCATGTTTTTAGCTGTTTCTGTTTTGTCTGTAAGCCACATTGAGTGCCTGTAAGCGAAAAAGGCAGGCTATAAATAAATATTTTTATAATTAATAATAGCCCAGAGGAAACCAGCTCTGCCTGGTAGTACAGCCACCACCCCTGTAGTCCCCCAATCCTGAGTCAGGATTGTTTCTCAGATTGTTTCTGGGTGCCCCTGAAATTTGCAGAGACAGGAGCCAAAGTGTCCACTCACTATCTTTTGAGCCTCAACCTCACAAATTACTCAGTAGTGTATGACCAAGCAGCCGTGTGCTGGATTCAGGGCCCAGCTTACTTCTGTTGGCGCAAATGAATGTATAGAGGGGAGAATTCCTGGATGCCAAGATTCTAGTTTTGCAAGTACTCTTTTGGTGAGAGAACCCCAGCAGAGATTTAAAATCATGTAATATGTAGCTAAGTAAAGCATGGAAGTACAGTGGTGTCTTGGGTTAAGAACTTAATTCGTTCTGGAGGCCTGTTCTTAACCTGAAACTGTTCTTAACCTGAGATACCACTTTAGCTAATGGGGCCTCCCACCGCCACCACACAATTTCTGTTCTCATCCTGAAGCAAAGTTCTTAACCTGAGGTACTATTTCTGGGTTAGTGGAGTCCGTAATCTGTAACCTGAAGCATCTGTAACCTGAGGTACCACTGTATTGGTATAGGAACGCAAGCATGGTTTGTGAGAGCCATGCAGCTAAGCTGGAGCAACCAGCTGAAACCTCTTCACACGCTGAGTTCATCTACAGTGGTGGGCTTTGGTGTCTCAAATTTCTTGTCTTCCATTGGAGTAATAATGCTGGCACCTGCTCCACCATCCCAGAAGCTCCACACTGCACTTATCTATAGCCACCTCTGTTATGTAGACCAGTTCTCTACAACATTTCCAGTTTCAAAAACCGTAGAAAACCATTGCTTGTGTTACAGTTCTCTGGGGATGTCGTCCTACCCTGACAACAAACTTACTGGGCCTGTGGACATATTTGTAAACAGCAGAACAGTGACTTCACCAATACAGGATTATTAACAAGGTTTTATATAGTTCCCTCTAGGCCTGGGGTATCTCTATTGAGAACTTTCAAGAAGGCCCTGTGGCAGTCGGCAGTCGGAGACACTTGTTCAGAATGCCTTATTTTATTTTTAAAGCAGAGCTAAGTGGAAGCTGTCTTTTCAAGAATAAAAGATGAAGATAACCTAAAATACATACACCCATCAGGAAAACCTCAGCTGTGCAATTCCGCCTTCCACAACCTCCTCAGTCAGGATGATGATTATGGAGGACTGTACTCATGGCCAGGATTTCGTTGCTAAGGCAAAGGAAGGCACCATGTTCTCCAAACAATCACATACCGGAAGTCTAATTACTGGGCTAGTCAGGATTTGCTTTATTTGCTGAGCTATATTAATCCCAGTATAGAAATAGTCAACTTTGTAACCAAATCATTTTCTCAGTTCCTTTTTATAGTTTTAAGAGTTTTGCATCACCTTAAAAGGCTAAGCGATTCATTGTGGTATAAGACTTTGTGGACTAGAACCCACTACATCCGATTGCATGGGCACAAACATAGATGAAGTATTGTCTTCAACTGGCCTGTAGATACAAAAATAGATATACACATTTATAACATGGTATGGAAAGGGCAGACATATACATGGCATACTCTTCCTTCCTGTTGCATGTTAATTTCACACTTGTATCAAGGAAGAAAGTTGTTGTTGCTGCTGCTGCTGCGGCGGCAATTTACACATAAAATAATTTAAAACAGTTAAAAAACAGAAAAACAACATGTACAACTCTAACAAATGGACCCTCATGTTAAAGGCTCATTTGTCCCATTGGGAAAGCCTTCCAGAACAAAAAAAATGTCTTCAACTGTTTCTATAAACTGCAGATAGTGAGCCCTTGTATCTCAGCAGGAATGCTGTTCCACAGAACAGGGGCAGCCACACAAATATTTCTGCTCCGTATTTCTGTGGAGTGTTTTTCCAAGTAAGTTTATTTGGGATTGCAACCTTAAATACAGGGATGCCTTCTTATCACTGCAAGTCCTACTTTTTAATTGTTCAAAATGAATAATGACTTACAGTTAAACAGGGCAGCAGGTCAGGTGAATAGTTCCAACACATGGTAAGTTGTAGGGGCAAGCCATATAGCCCAACACTCTGTTTATTTGAAAAATAAATTCTACTAAGTTCAATGTGACCGTCTTGTGTAAATGTATAGGGGGTTCATGTTAGTGTTTTATGTTAGATGTGATTCCTGCAACACTGGAGAAGTGTGGGAGCTGATTCCCTGTGATTCACTCCCACACTGCTCCAGGAAACATCTCTACATGAGCCAGGCAAATTACATAGTTCCTTGCCTTGCAAGTGTCACTCTTCTGGGCAGATGGGTAATGCTTGTGTGGGAAGGAACCATATCACGCATCCTGCCCATACAGTTTCTCCACACAGCCATTACTATCTTGTCACTTGGGAACAAGTTGAAGGCGTGGTACACCTGCTGTGGTCATGAATGAATCAGGACTTAGTCCAACTCTACAGGAAATAGATAAAGCAGAGCACAGGGAGAAAGACCAACTTGTTCACATACCATAGTCTCATCAGCTCTTCACAACACAGTGCCTTCTGACGGAGTCAGTTCACATTTGATGCCAAGTTCATTGAATGTGCCTCACTGTGAAATTCTGTCTTGTGCTTAAAACCTAAAGACTGTATTTCCCTATATACAGGGGGCAAAGTTTATTTTCCCAAATTGCAGTATCTGCAGAGGATTCACTTATAAAACTATATATTTGTAAGCATCCTTACCGTAAACTACTTTTT